CACCCCAAAAGGTACCCGCCGCCTTCTGAAGGCTCCCGAGGTTCAGGGCGGGGCTGCGCGAGGCCCCCTCACTGGAGTCCCCATCCCGCCCCAATCCAGCCCAGACCTTTGGTCTGTACGCATCGTGCCAGCCCAGAAGGTCCCGACCCCTTTCCCCGGCTTCTCCACCTGCGGCCCCGCAGAAGGGAGGGGAGACGGGCCGGCAGCGCTCGTGTGAAGTTAATTCAATTCGTCCAGATAACCGAGTTATTCCGATCCAGCCCCTCGGCCCCGCCCCCCGCGAGTTCCTTCCCGGCGGGGACCAAGGAGGCAGCCCTGGAAGGGGGAGGGAGACAGGCCCGAGGAAGAGACGGAGCCTGGGACGGGGCCGTGGATGAGGAGAGGAGACAGAGACAAGCACGGAGCGAAAGGGACAAGACGGATACAGGTACCCAGATGGAGACAAGGATGAGACCTGGACGAGAGAGGAAGGTTGGAGACGGGGCAAGAGGAAGACAGGGACAGCGATGGAGACAAAGGTGAAACATGGACTTGAGAAGAGCAGGGGTGGGGATGGGGACAAGGCAGAGACAGAGAGGGGGACAGAGAAAGGAAGGCAGCGGCACGGAGACAGAAGGCCGAGGAATGAGACAGGGATTGTGATGGAGATCAGCAGAGAGATGAGACGAACCAGGGCAGTGATAGTGTGACAGACACAAACGGAGGGACAGTTTCAGAAAGACAAGGCCAGGGAGCCACACAGAGGAGGAACCGAGGCTGAGAGGCGGAGAGAAAGAGCCTTGGGCGAGCTGAGACTCACGAGCTGGAGCGCCCAGAGTAAGGATTGTGGTGTAGGCACTGCTCGCTCCAAATCCTGCGGAACCCCCAGCCCCTTCCCTGCCCCTCCAGTGACTGAGACAGTCCCCCACAGCCGCCACCAGCTCTGCCCCGGCCAGACCCCCAATGCCCCGCTGGACCCTCAGTCCCCCTGTAAGACGGGTTATCCTAGGCAGCGCCGAGCCTCCCACTCTCATCCTTCCCAGCTCCACATCCAGATCCCACACTCTTAAGGTCAAGGAAACAGCCGGTCCATCCCCAGGCCCTCCCCTCCCTACCTGCGAAGACTGACCACCGAACCATCTGCAGCTCAGGGGGAGGGTCTCAGGTGCCGAGGTCCCTCTGTCCTCCCGACTTGTCCTGAAGGCCCCACGACCTTGTCCTGAACCTTCATGGCCGGATCGGCCTCTCCCCTCCCAGTTCCCCCATCTCAGTCCTCCTTCCCACTGCCATCGCATGTGACCCTCTGGTTCCCTGCACCTTCGTCACTAAGTGTATGAGGAATGTCAGGACAGGGAGTAACCCAGTGGCACCTTTTGTCTCCCTTAACCTCTCACCTCCCTTCTCCAGAGAATCTTTTCTCCTCCAGGAAAACCACCTAGAGCAGTGATGGCGAACCTATGACACGTGTGTCAGAGGTGACACGCGAACTCATTTTTTTGGTTGATTTTCTTTGTTAAATGGCATTTAAATATATAAAATAAATATCAAAAATACAAGTCTTTGTTTTACTATGGTTGTAAATATCAAAAAATTTCTATATGTAACACGGCACCAGAGTTAAGTTAGGTTTTTTCAAAATGCTGACACGTTGAGCTCAAAAGGTTCGCCATCACTGATAGAGTCTAGGTCAGGGGTGGGCAAACTTTTTGACTCGAGGGCCACAATGGGTTCTTAAACTGGACCGGAGGGCCGGAACAAAAGCATGGATGGAGTGTTTGTGTGAACTAATATAAATTCAAAGTAAACATCATTAAATAAAAGGGTTCGGTTTTTTTTTTTTTAGTTTTATTCATTCCAACCAGGCCGGATCCGGCCCGCGGGCCGTAGTTTGCCCACGGCTGACCTAGGGCCAGGGGGAAGGGAACAATGGGGACATTATTGTTTAATAGGTATGGAATTTGAGTTTGAGATGATGAAACATTCTGGAGAATGGACAGTGTTCATGGTTGCACAGCAGTGTGAATGTATTTGATGCTGCTGGCTGGACCCTCAGTCCCCCTGTAAGACGGGTTATCCTAGGCAGCGCCGAGCCTCCCACTCTCATCCTTCCCAGCTCCACATCCAGATCCCACACTCTTAAGGTCAAGGAAACAGCCGGTCCATCCCCAGGCCCTCCCCTCCCTACCTGCGAAGACTGACCACCGAACCATCTGCAGCTCAGGGGGAGGGTCTCAGGTGCCGAGGTCCCTCTGTCCTCCCGACTTGTCCTGAAGGCCCCACGACCTTGTCCTGAACCTTCATGGCCGGATCGGCCTCTCCCCTCCCAGTTCCCCCATCTCAGTCCTCCTTCCCACTGCCATCGCATGTGACCCTCTGGTTCCCTGCACCTTCGTCACTAAGTGTATGAGGAATGTCAGGACAGGGAGTAACCCAGTGGCACCTTTTGTCTCCCTTAACCTCTCACCTCCCTTCTCCAGAGAATCTTTTCTCCTCCAGGAAAACCACCTAGAGCAGTGATGGCGAACCTATGACACGTGTGTCAGAGGTGACACGCGAACTCATTTTTTTGGTTGATTTTCTTTGTTAAATGGCATTTAAATATATAAAATAAATATCAAAAATACAAGTCTTTGTTTTACTATGGTTGCAAATATCAAAAAATTTCTATATGTGACACGGCACCAGAGTTAAGTTAGGGTTTTCCAAAATGCTGACATGCCGAGCTCAAAAGATTCGCCATCACTGATATAGAGTTACAGGGGTGGGCAAACTTTTTGACTCGAGGGCCACAATGGGTTCTTAAACTGGACCGGAGGGCCGGAACAAAAGCATGGATGGAGTGTTTGTGTGAACTAATATAAATTCAAAGTAAACATCATTACATAAAAGGGTACGGTCTTTTTTTTTTTTTAGTTTTATTCATTTCAAACGGGCATTATCCGGCCCGCGGGCCGTAGTTTGCCCACGGCTGGTCTAGGTCCTAGACTTACTCTGAACTTGGCCACAGACACCCTGGCCTTTGGCAGACTCAGCCACCGCATCTACATCGTGGGATGGTGGGACACAGAACCCTTTCCAGGGGAACAGAATACAGAACTCTTCTGCCCCAGCAGCTCACCTTACGTAGATGGACAGTTGCCTCACCCAGCCCTCAGCCTCCTCTACCCAAATCTTGGCAGGTCCTGCACATGGGGGGACCCAGCAAGAAGCCAGGGGAGGAGGCACCTTTCTTACCAAAGTCCTTGGGGATAAGGGAAGGGCTCCCAGAATACACCCCCGTGCCCTGGTTTACTAGCTCAATGGGGAGCATGCGCACCCTCAGATCACCCACTTCTCTGGTCACCCATTCCTTGCTTCACACAAGAACATCTCCATGCCAGGGGGGTTCTTTGAAGTGTTTTCACTATTTTTTAGGTCTAAACTTCTAAAACTGACAGTAAAATGCTTTAAAAATTCTCCCCACTGAAGTGTGAGGTTTACCTCTCTCCCTTGACACATCCTCACAGCAGTGGTTCCCAACCTTTTTTTGGCCACGCCCCACCTAAGCATCTCTAAAACCCTGATGCCCCCCTTCCCCATGACATATAATTCTTATTCAAAAAGTGAACTCCTATTCATGTGGAGGAAGCCTAAAAGGCCATTAACTTAATCTAAACATGCTTTCGAAGAACATGGCATCCATGAAAGAGAAAAAAGAATGAAAGGACCGTTGAAGTACTGAGAAAGAAATCACTAAGAAATTGTTAAATAACAATAGTAATATGAAGTGATATGAAAAAATAGCAAATAAAGTTTCAAAACATATAAGAGAACTGAAATGCATAAATATGTCACAATATATATTTATATACTGTATGTATATGAGGCCTCAAGAACCATAAGAAATGCAAAAAAAATTCATTGTTAATAACTCATTCTCAAATTGCCCCCCTTAAAAATCAAATTGCCCCCCCTGAGGGGCATGTGCCCCACCTTGGGAACCACTGCTCTACAGGACGCCCAAGGGATCTCAGAACTGGGAAATCAGATGGTGCCACCTCTCTCTTTAGACTTCCCATGGCTCTCCATTGCCCTCAGGATAAAATCCAAGCCCTCACTCTAAATAGTGCCTGGCACCTAGTAAACATATAGATAAATTAGCTACTATAACCACCACAACCCCCTTTCCTGTCACCAAGTGACTGAGCCCTGTGTGATTAGAGTCCCAGGGCTGGGCAAACTTTTTGACTCGAGGGCCACAATGGGTTCTTAAACTGGACCGGAGGGCCGGAACAAAAGCATGGATGGAGTGTTTGTGTGAACTAATATAAATTCAAAGTAAACATCATTACATAAAAGGGTACGGTCTTTTTTTTTTTTTTTTTTTTAGTTTTATTCATTTCAAACGGGCCGGATCCGGCCTGCGGGCCGTAGTTTGCCCACGGCTGGACTAGACCCAGACCACACTGTGGCCGGGCTCCTCCACTCTGTTACACCTGATACCTAGATATGTAATCAGGACACAGACCCTATCTTTGCATGGATGGCAGCATCACCTCTTCCCTGAAGATTTCAGAAGATATTAGCTCCTGCAGAGTTACCCAGCCTGGCCCTTTAA